TATATACTAACTAACTAAACCGTAACCGTAACTAACTAGTAAGTAAGTAAGTAAAGTAATATACTACTTACTTACGTTACGTTACGTAATAACTACTATACACACTACTACTACTACTATATATATATATATATATATATATATATATATATATAGACTGCAACTGTAATCCAGTCCATTCTTTCCATTAGGGATGAAAATAGAAAAGACATTCATTAAGACCTGTTAAAAGAAAGCCACAATATGATCAGCAATGCAAAATTAATACTGCATCACTAAATTCTGGTTTCGAAGGGCCTATGTGTGTATGTCCTTGTGTCAGTGTTTGCTCCTAAGAAGTGACTACATAGGAAGATACTACAAAACGCCTATAGGCGAAAATGAATAGTGATTTCGCCTACCCTCATCACTATCCAAACTTCATCGCACGATCACAATTGTCCGGTAGTGTTTCAATTTAATTTTTACAATCGGAATGATATGAAATTTGGAGCGTGTGTACGAAGGTATTTTGGTCAATTTATATTTTATAAATTATTTTTCATATTTTATTAGGTGTGCCTCACTTAGATGTACACACGCTACAAATTTCAAGTAATTTGGATTTGTAGAAAAAAATTGAAAATTGAAATACTACCAGACAACTGTGCTTGTGCGATGAAGTTTGGATGGTGATGAGGGTAGGCGAAATCACTGTTCAATTTCGCCTATAGGCGTTGGGAAGAGTTTTTCGACTACTTAAATGACTTAATTCTAGAAAAAAACATAATTCTTTTACAATGATATCTCAAATTTGTTCATGCCCTCATCTAAAGAACCAAAATTTTCTACATAAAGTATCACCTAAACATTAATTATGTGTTAGATATGTAATGCATTCATGAATGTATTTGAAGTTTAAATATTCAATTTTCTTTTAAAAGTTAACTACAAATTTATCCCAAGTATTTTATTTCCAAATAATAAATTATCTCTCTTGTCTATATGCCCATATATCGCATTTGAAGATCTTTTTACTTACAAATATTATATGAAAATAAGTGATACTCACGTATAACATATCCATTTATTCCATTTATGTTATGACAGTATTCGCATTTCTTTTGGGGTACTTTAATTGCTTGTAAACCTCGAATGGAGTTTGTAAAATGTAAACAAGGACTTCGTGGGAAAATCAAATGCCGAACTTTGAGCGAATGATATTTATGGCATCATTGATTGTAAGATTTAGAACCTTTCTTTAGAGAAGAGAAAGACGCACAGAAATTTGGTAATTGAGTTAGGTTCAATGAAGAGATGCTTGGAGATATGGTGGAGCCAAACATTCATAGCACAATGCCGCTATAGAAAGGGAACATGAAGTCATGCTTCTTCAAAGTAGTAAGGGCACAATGTGAATTTCACAGTTTCATAAAGAGGAGAGAATGTGATTCTTCTTGCTAAAAAGAGGTATCTAAAGATACTCAGCTGGTCTTCAATGTAGAAGCCCAAAACGCTCTTGATATTCTCCCTACAAGTTAGTGTTATTGGGTATTTTTCGACACTTGTATCCCCGGTGAACATAAGGAAGAAGCTAGTTGCGACCTCGGCCTGCGGGTACCAAAATACCTATCTTATGGAAGCATTGGTAGAATAAATCCTGATCTTGAGTGAATTATGAAGGGTGTCAGATTGGTCCCAAAAGACGTAGAGGTGGCATTTGACTCCCTAAGAACACCCACCAAGTTTCGTCGCGATCTGACGAAGTTCAGACAAATCAGATGAAAAACCAGTTTTCAAATTTGGCTCCTAACACGCTAAAAAAGCACTTCATAACAACAGCCCCATTATCGGGGTCTCAAATGAGTACCAGACTGCTTCCATTGGATTCAAAAGGTCCGAAAACCTCCAAATATCAAGTTTCAGCACATTCAGGCGTTTCTAGACCATTCTATGGCCAACTTACCCGAAAATGGTAGGTTTTACACTATTCTGCTGCACCCTTGATGAAGCAGTTTCCATTTAAATAGAAATTGTACCTTATGATTTCGAGATCATCTTCCAAGGGCTGTAACTTCTATGTTTTAAGCCCGATCAAGCCCAAATTTCAGGAGATTCTTTGTCTTGCCAACACACACGTTTTGATATATAGCACGACCTGTGACACAGCCCGAGACGGAACAAATCCTAGAGAGAAATTGCACAAGAAAACTCATGTGTTGCAAATTTTGGCAAGATGGAGACTCCCTTGAACAAATGGTCATATCACGAAACCCCGACCTAGGATCGTCTTGAAAATGGGTCCATTGCGACCGTGACGTCCAGGGCTTCAATTCATTGTAAACATCACATTTGAGAAAAGATCAAAAGTGTTGTATTTTTAGGTTGCAAAAAGGGAAATTTTCCAGCGACCGGTATCCATATTCCGGCAACTTCCCCAATTCGGAAAGTGATGATTCGGCAACCAAATCGAGCCATTTTTATCACAAAACAAACATGGTGGCTTCCCCGTCATTCTCTGATGAAAAGAACGGCCCACAACATCAAGAGACGGACAAGATTAAGCATTCAAGATTGCAAGAATTCTATCTTTTGCCAAATTTCAATAAGGGTCGAAAATCTCGATTCCAGGATCAAATCATATGTCAAAACGATCGTCTCGTCGAGACCATCAGGTTTACGGTATTATTTTTGCCAGGAGGTTGCCGGAAGGACCCAAAATGAGCCCCGAACGATCACCATAGCCCATGGTACCTTATTGGGGATCATCTCACCATTTCCAAGATTGTGGGTGGGGGCAAAATGGTCATTTTGCCCCAAAAACGGGATTTAATTTTAATTCATAGAAAACATTTTTGACAATTTGGTTTAGTTTTGAGCATCCACCCTTGTTTCAAGGGGATGTTATATATACACCTTAAGCTCATTTGTAACCCTAAGTTCAAGAAACTCAAAAGAAGCTTGATGTAACGCAAGAATTAATCAAATATATTAAGCATCCCCCTGGAGTTGGAGATTTTTTATTCCATCTTCTTCATCCCAAATGAAGGAGAGAGAAAACTTTTGCCTATTGAGGATTAACCCTAAACTTCCCACTTCTCACTTAGAACTTCCCACTTCCAATCCAAGGTAACCCCTCCCCTTTGCTCTATTTCTCTCTCTTCTTTTCTCTCTTTCTCTCTTCTCTCTTTCTCTCTATTTCTCTCCTCTCTTTCTCTCTTTCTCTCTCTTCTGTCTTTCCCTCTGTTCCTTCACTCAGTCTCTCTCGTCTAGAGTCACGGGCTCGTGCCTAGCTTTCTCTCTACCTTCCTCTCGTCTTGTTCTCTCTTGTGCTCTTTCTCTCTCTTTCTCCCTCTTCTTCTCTCTTTCTCTTTCTTTCTCTTTCCTCTCTCCTTTCTTCCTCTCTTTTCTCTCTCCCTCTCAAATCCAAGTATTGAGCCTATACCTAAAGGCAAGCCCATCTCTCTTATTCTCTTCTTCTATCTCATTCCCTCTCTTTCTCTCCTCTTTTTCTCTCTCAAGTCCAAGTTCTGAGCGCACACCTAAAGGCAGGCCCAACTCTCTCTTACTCGTTTCTTCTCTCTCTTCTCTCTACCTCTCTCTTCCTCACTCTGTCTCTCTTTTCTCACTCGCTCTCAAGTCCAAGCACTGAGCCCGCACCTAAAGGAGGGCCTAGCTCTCTCTTTCTCTCTTCCTCTCTCTCTCTCTTTTCTCTCTCTCAAGTCCAAGTACTGGACCCACACCTAGAGGCAGACCCAGCTATCTTACTCTCTTCTTCTCTGTCTCTCTCTTCCCTCTTTCCCTCTCTTCTTTCACTCAGTCTCTCGTCTAGAGTCATGGGCCCGGGCCTAGGTGTGGGTCCAGCTTTCTTTCTCTCCCTTCCTCTCGTCTTGTTCTCTCTTGTTCTCATTCTCCTCTCATTCCTCTCTCTCTCAAGTCCAAGTACTGGGCCCGCACCTAGAGGCGGGCCCAGCTCTCTTACTGTCTTCTTCTCTTTCTCTCTCTTCTCTCTTTCCCTCTCTTCCTTCACTCAGCCTCTCTCTCGTCTAGCCCTACTTTCTTTCTCTCCCTTCCACTCGTCTTGTTCTCTCTAGTTCTCTGTCTCTATCTTCTCCTCTCTCTTTCTTTCTCTTCTTCTCTTCCTTTCCCTCTCTTTCTCTCTCATTTTTATCTCTCTCAAGTCCAAGTTTTGGGCCCACACCTAGAGGCGAGCGCATCTCTCTCTTACTCTCT